CCGCTGCAGCGTCGAGACACTCCGGGGCCGCGGGCTCGCCACCGGCAAGAGTTGTTTGTCGAATTGAATGGAATTAAACTCATTTTAATTCTTTTTGATTCTTTTTAATTGTTTTTAATTGTTTTTAATCTAAAAATGCTTTTAAATTTGCCATTTATTTCAATTTAAGTTGTTTTTCACCCTTCGATCGCTCAAGAACTCAGCTGGCAAAGCGACGAGCGTGCGCGAAGCCTTCGGGTGTCTAGTCTTCTTTTCTTTTTTATCCTCTTTTGTCCTTTTAATTCTTTTTAATTCTTTTTAATTCTTTTTTATTTATTCTTTTCTTTTTATTTTCTCATTTTTGTCCTTTTATTTCCCTTTATTGCTTCTTTTTCCCCCTTCACTTTCTACTTTTAACTCTCCGTCTTCTCTTTGCTGTTTCTTCTTTGCTTCTTTCTTCTCTCCTTTTCTTCTTCTTCTTTGCTTTCTTTTGTTTCTTTCTTTTTGTCTTTCTTTTCTTTCTTTTTTTCCTCTCATTTTTTCCTCATTTGTCCCTTATTTGTCCCCTATTTGTCCCTTATTTGTCCCTTATTTGTCGCTCTTTTGTTCCTCTTTTGTTTCCTTTTTGTTTCTTTTTTCCCTCTTTTTTATCTCTTTTTTGCCTCTTTTTGTCCACTTGTTTGTCTCTTTGTTGTCTCTTTTTATCCCCTTTTAAAGTTCTCTTTTATTCTTCGTGTTGCTTTTATTTTGGCTCTTTTTGCTTTTTTTTTATCTCCCCCGTTTGTCTCTTTTTTGTCGTTTTTTTCTTTTTTTTCCTCTCTTTTATTCCTTTCTTTCGTCTCTTTGTTTAACTTCTTTTGTTTCATTTTTGTTTTTTTAGTTTCCCTTTTGTCTCCCTTTTGCGTTTTTTCTTCCTTTTTGTTTCCTCATATCTGATTTTTATCTGTTAATTATTTTCCCTCCTTTTGTTTTATTTTATTATTTTCATTTCATGCAAATAAATATTTCATTTTTACTTATTTCGCTTTTATTTCTTTTCTGGTTTCGTTTCTCCCTCTGCGTTTCCAGTTTTGATTTAATCATGAATTTGCTTCCTAATTGCATTCTAATTATATTTTAATTCTATTTTAACTTTATTTCAATTCTATTTTAACTTTATTTCAATTCTATTTCACTTCTATTTTAATTCCGTTTTAATTCCATTTTAACTTGATTTTAATTGTATTTCAGTTATGTTTTAATTGCACTTCAATTCTACTTTAACTGCACTTTCAATTGCATATTTCATTTCCCCTTAAATTACATTTAAATTGCATTTAAAATAAAATAAATAAATAAATAAAATATAATAATATTAGATTTAATAATAATATTAACATTAATATTAATATTAGTATTAATATTAATATTAATATTAACATTAATATTAATATTAATATTAATGTTAATACTAGTATTAACATTAATATTAATATTAATGTTAATACTAATATTAATATTAATGCTAATATTAGTAATACTATTAATATTGGTATTAATATTGATATTAATATTGGCATTAATATTATTCTCATCTTAATAATAATAACAAAAATAAGAATATTAATTTCATTTTAAGTTATTTGTTAAAGTCATTTTATTTGCATTCTAACTTCACTTTAAATTCACTTTAACTTCATTTTTAATTCTTATAAATTCATTTCAAATTCATTCTTAATTGCACTTTAAATCGAGTTTTAATTGAATTTAAATTAATTTAAATTAATTTAAATTAATTTAAATTAATTGTCAAATAGTTTTAAATTTATTCTGAATTATTTTAAAATTAAGTTTGAATAAAACTATTTCCAAAATGCCATTTTGTTTTTCATTGGCATTTATGCCTTTTTGCCTTCTCTTGTTTTCCAGTTATTTACACGACTGCACTTTCAGTTATTTATTTAATTTTAATTTTAGTTTTAATTTTAGTTTTAATTTTAGTTTTAATTTTAGTTTTAATTTTAATTTTAATTTTAGTTTTAATTTTAATTTTAACTTAATACGAGTACAAAGATGAGATTAATATTAATATCAATATTAATAGCAATACTAATATTAAAATCGATATTAATATGAACAAAATAATATTAATGTTTGATATCTTAATAATAAGAAGAATAATATTAATATTAATATTAATATTAATACTGACATTGATCACAAATATTAATTTTAGTATTAGTATTAGTCCCATCTTAATAAAACTAGCAGCAATAATACTAATATTAATATAAATGTTGGCATTAATCCCATCTTAATAATAACAGCAATAATATTAAAATTTTTATTAATATTGCCATTAATCTCATCTTAATAATAACGATCATAACAGTATTACTAATATTAATGTTAATATTATATTAGTATTAACATTGATATTAATCTCATCGTAATAATAGTACCAATATTAGAATTATATTAATATTAATATTAATATTAATATTAACATTAGCTTTATATTAATATTTATATTTCAATTAATATTATTATTAGCATTTATATTACGATTAATATTAATATCACCAATATTCATATTACAATTAATACTATTATTAGTATTAATATTACAATTAATATTAATATTAATATTAAATTTTATAATAACATTTATATTACAGTTAATACTAATCTCATCTTTGTATTCATCATTAACCATCTGCATTGTAACGGGGTGTATGTACACCTCAGTTCTGCACACAGCTCAGCCAGCGGGCCGAAGCGGAAGAAGTAAAATTTACGCATCAGTTTTAATTAATTCTTTTCTGACTTATTATTTTATTTATTTTAATTTAAATTTGTTTTATTTGTTTTCTTTTCTCGTTTTCAGGAGCAGCAGCAGCAGCAGCAGCAGCAGCAGCAGCAGAGGCACTCGAGAGACGCATCACCAGATCACCTCCCAGCCGGCCACCCTCTTCATTTCAAATGAAATAAATTCAATTTATTTAATTAACTAATTAATAATTTAATAATTGATTAATTACTCGCTAAATTAAGTTTTATTTTTATCTTAAGATCCAAAAATCTGCAAAAAAGTCCGTTTCCCTCCCCCTTGAGGTCCTTTTCCTTTTTTCTTTGAAATAAAAAGAATAAAAGAATAAAAGTGAATAAAAAAGAACAAATATGAATAAAAAAGAGCAAAAAAGAATAAAAATGAACAAAAAGAATAAAAATAATTCAAAAATGTTTCAAGTGGTTTTCAATTTGCAAATTTCGGATTTGAAAATTCGAATTTGCTGCGGAGGGCGAATTGCGAGGTGTCTAGACACTGCGTTTGAAAGCGGGGCAGAACCGGAAAAGAAAAAAATTTATTTATTTTAAAAAAGTCTTTTTTGTTTTTAATTTAATTTAAATATTTAATTCAAATAAACTCCGACAACGGCAGGATTCGAACCTACGCGGGCAGAACCCAATGCCTTAGCAGGGCACCGCCTTAACCACTCGGCCACGTTGTCTGGTACTGCTGCTGCAACTCCTGCTGCTGCTGCTGCTGCTGCAGCTGCAGCAGCAGCTGCTGCTGCTGCAGCTGCAGTTTTTCTTGTTGGCGTTTCTCTCTGGGAGCAGTTTGGAGCAGCAGCAGCAGCAGCAGCTGCAACAAGCAGCAGCAGCAAAGAGAGCAGCAGCAGCTGCTGCTGCTGCTCTCTTTGCTGCTGCTGCTTGTTGCTGACTTAATCTGTACATACACCCGAGCGCTGCTGCAGCGGCTTGCAGCAGAAGAATTTGTAGAAGAAATTCTTTCAAAAATATAATATTATAAAATATATAATTAGATAGAGGCAGCAGCAGCAGCAGCAGCAGCAGCAGCAGCAGCCAGCTGGCGCCGGTGAGACACGAGGCCAGAAGCAGCAGCAGCAAACTGCAGCAGCAGCAGCAGCAGCAGCAGCAGCAGCAGCAGCAGCAGCAGCAGCAGCATAAGCAGCAGCAGCAGCAGCAGCATCTGACAACGTAGCCGTGTGCGAAAGGCAGTGCTGTGCTAAGGTACTGGTTTCAGCCCGCGTAGGTTCGATTCCTACCGTTGTCACTTTTTTATTTTTAAATTAACAATTTAATTTAATTTTATTTTTTTTGTTTTGAACTTCAGAGGGGCCCCCCGCCCCACAGTACCCTCTTTAGGGGCCGCCACGACGTCTAAGCAGCAGCAGCAGCAGCAGCAGCAGCAGCAGCAGCAGCAGCAGCAGCAGCAGCAGCAGCAGCAGCA